CTTGACTCGGGAACGGCCGGCGGGCTGGAGAGAGTCGCGGTCTGCGGTCTTGACTGAGGAATGGCTGGCAGAGGGGTTCCGGATCGGAGACTCTCTAGACACCGGATGACTGTCTCCTTCCAGTCGAGGTCGGCGGTGTCTGAGCTCCATGGGTCATCTCGAGCCGGAACAGCGTCACAAGGGTCTTCTCGCAAAGACAATCAGGTCGGGGCTCGCCTGAGCCATGGCGATGAACAAGGCTCATTCCTCCATGTAGGCGGGGAGCAACGAAAAGTAAAACAAAAAAACGTATAGAACAAAAACAAGAACACGGGAGAAGGGGCGCCGCTTACTTTTCTGTTTTAGGTCCGGTATTCTGTCACGAGTGCACTGCTGAGCGGAGTGAGGAGCAAGGAATGGAGAGAGACAAGGAGTACATCAATCCAAATGGGTTGAATTAAGACAAAGGAACATGGAACACTCACGCTATACATGTAGACATGAACAGTACCAGACGCTGAACTAAAGAGAGGAAACACTATTTAAACACATGACAAGACGAGGGGATGACGAGACACACCTGGGATCAATGAAAACAAACTGGGAACACCTGGGATTAAATCAACATAATCAGGACAGGAACAGGAAACTAACCAAATATGGGCATAAACACTGGGACACAGGGAGCACATAGGAAACAAAACACAACACAAGCCTGACATATATACTATTTTAATATTTTACTTAAAAACAGGATCTAGCCTACTAAAAACAATATAGCTAATCAAAACGTTCTCATCTTGAGCAGAAAAAAAGATAATTAACAGTTTCAAAGTTTAAATTCCATCCTAGCCATCTATCAACAATTTTCCCAATTATAATTAGGCCTAGATATTGTTTTTTTTTTATGTTCTTAGCCTACAGATTAATAATGCTAAATGTCAGAATAACGTCTTGTCACATCTGGTTTGAATAGCTAGTCAGAGTCATAGGTTACAGATACTATAACCTCTATAGTAAGAAAAATAACTATATTTGCAACATTGTTTTTTTCTGCTGTGTTTTAGTGAAAGTAATCTATAATTTTGCTGCTCACCGTATTTCTGTTGTTGATAAAATAACCGCGTTATCCGCAGCTCTTGAACCTGGCGCCGGCGCGCGTCTGGAGAGAGAGAGAAAGCGCACAGAACTGAAAGGGCTTGAATAAAGCGTGTTTGGCTTTAGATAAAAATACTAGAATATATAGCGCTGAAAGATATTTACCACAAACGACCCTGAGCGCTTATGTGATCCGCTCCGCTGTTTTGATGCGCTGCTCACTTAAAATGGTGCTGCTACAGCTCGCGGTCCGGATGGATGCAGCGGTGCGGATGCGGTCCACCTTTTTAAAATCAGTTATATAAGTATTTAAGGTTAAAAGACTTCAGTTGCTTTTAAAATATTCACGAGTCCTTTTCCTCGAGTCGAGTCAAGTCTGGAGTCATTTCAGGTCGAGTCTGAAGTCAAGTCTGAAGTCTATAAAAATGTGACTCGAGTTCGAGTCACTAACTCGAGTGCCCATCTCTGGTTCAAAGGTTATTTTATCAAAAATACAGTAAAACGTTAAATTTGTGAAATATTATTAAAATTTCAAATAATTATTTTCTGGTTTGCTGTATTTTAAAATTTAATTGATTCATGTGAAACAAAGCTGAATTTTCAGCATCATTACTCCAGTCTTCAGTGTCACATGATCATTCAGAAATCATTCTAATATGCTGATTTGCTGCTCAAGAAACATTTCTTCTTATTATATGGTAATAAGAAATGTTAAAATAGCATCCTAGCATCTTGTGATAGGTTAGAATGTTAGAGACTTTGATTGACAGCTCATTAAAATCTCATCAAGCCACCTGATTGTTACATGCCAGCTGAGTGGGAACATCAAGTTCACTGTCCAAGCAAGCACAGTAGAGAACAGATAACTTTTGTCTGCAACAGAAATATGTGAAAAATGTAAACTGTGTGGGTTGATGTTGTTCAGTCGTGTAGTATTTTGCAGACCGAGCAGGAATTCCAGCACAATGGGGCTTTCCTCCGGTGTAATAATGCTTCAGTTGTTCTGGCTGGCTCTTGTTCTTTTACACGGGTCATTCACTCCAGTCTCTACGGTCGTTGTGAAGAGTGAAGTGGTTTCAGGCAGTAGTGAGGAAGTTGAAATTGTCTTGAAAGAATATCAGTATTGCACTCATACAAAAATCTACTGCTCCACAGTCTCAGAGGAATGTTTTTTTTATTTAATTTTTTATTATATAGTTCATACATTATGTTATTAGTGGAAACCGAAAGGAAATTACAAGTACTAACATTAAAGGAATTCAGGATTTAGTACTAGTTAAACTCATGCAGCAATCACTGCCCAAAACGGTTGAGACATGACATTTAATTAGATTTGCTGATAAATGCAATGCAGAGTCAAATATAAATTAGGCGTGCTGTTGCGTGTATGTGCTTAGAATGTTGATTCGAGTGATCTGTAATATATAATTTTCTTTTTATAGATTTTTCTATGTAGTCACATCAACACAAGCATTATAATTTGTCTGGAAATGAAGCTTCTGTGAAGATAATCACGATGAGATATGTAATAAAATATTTTCTACCATCTCATTTTAAAGGTTACATGGAAACATATACCCTCTTTGTTTTTTTCTGTTTGCATCAGTTTCTGTTGGCTAATTAGCAATATGTTAAATGTGTCTTCAGTAGGGTTGGGTATCGTTAGAAATTTTCCGGTTCTGATTCCGGTTCCATTTAAATGAACTATTTATTTATTTTTTTTACAATTTTACCTTCATTGAATGTAGTGTTGCCCCTATTTTACAAATAATAATGCAGTCAGGAGATGGTGTGATGCAATGAGTGGTTTCCACATTTTTAAACATTTAAAATGCGTGAAAATAAATATTTTCAATCACTTTGTTTGTCACACTTGAAATGACCTGTACACTAAATAATCTAACCGTCATACTTACATAACAATAGCAGTCTATTTATTTAGTGGTCCAAGTTGAAGTCAGTATGTATATTAAAGGGGTCATATGATTCTGCTAAAAGGAACATTATTTTGTGTATTTGGTGTAATGAAATGTGTTTATGCGGTTTAAAGCTGCATTTGACAGGGTATGCCAGGGACAATCTCATCCATATTGCTATAAAATATAGCATTCTGT